ACCCGATGACCATGAAGCAGAGACGGGGATTAAGTCAAAAGAAGCCAGGAAGTACATTTTCAACTGTTTAGATGATATGGCTCAGGTAAGCTCCGTGGGTGAGTATGCAATGTTAGCCCTTTAGAACGAAGCACAGCACGACTTTTGCAAGAGGAATGTAGGGTGGCGTGTAGAAATCCATGTTACTCAACTGCAGTGGTTGACTTTGACCTTAAACAATGATATGCCAGCTATATAGTAAGAATACCACTGGGTGTGGGACATTTTAAAAACCTTACACCAGCTCTTTAAAAATAGCTTCAGTTGATTGGTTCCCATTTGTGAAATCATACTGGCCATTCTTACTGATGCTTCCATGAGAAGAATTCAAGCCCAAAAGCACATTTGAGTTCAATGCCCATGATTCAGTGTTAGTTCCCTAGGGCTGCATAATAAGGTACCACGGACTGAGGGGCTGAAGACCACAGACATTCATTCTTTCACAGTTCTGGAGGCTAGGAGTTCAAAATCAAAGCACCACCGGGGTCATGTTCCCTCTGAAGGCTCTAGGAAAAAACTGTCCCGTGCCTTCTAGCTCCTGATGATCCTAGCAGTCCTCAGTGTCCCCTCATCCCCCACTGTCTGCCTCCTTCTTCATGTAGCCTTCATCCTGTGTTTCTTCCTATTTCTGTGTCCAAATGTCCCTCTCTTTTTCTCTTATAAAGACACCAGTCATTGGATTTAGGGCCCAGCCTACTCCAGTTTGACCTCATTTTAACTTGATTACATCTGCAAAGACCCTATTTCCAAATAAGGTCACACTCACAGGTACTGGGAATTAGGACTTAACATGTCTTTCATGGGGACACAATTCCACACACTGCACTCAGCCTCTCTCGGCTCACTGGAGGGACCACAGGCTCTCACCTTTGAGCCCAGAGAAAATGCTAGAACTTCAGCTATTGTTAATGTAAAGACTAGCCTAAACTCAGGGCAACCCAAAGTGAATATCTCTTAAAAGCAATGAGAAATAAAGCTAGAGACCCAGAAACACTTAGCACACCTCTTACTGAAGATAAGTGTAACCAAAACTCATGATACTGGGTAAAGTACACTTGTCAGTTGATTAGAAGCTTAGTCTGTCCGAGGACACTGAAATTGCTTTCCAGAGCATGCCTTGGAAAGCATAGACAGCTCCACAAAGCTAGTCTCTTAAAGGGCCATCCTGGTATAGACTTGCTCTGGGAAGAAAAATTCTCTCTTCAGATAGCCTGCCTGTCATGGTCAGAAGTGACACCAGTGAATACAAGTGCTGAAATGATTCTGGCCCTTGGAGCTTGGGAGCTCCAAGAAGACTGATACATGGCAGATGTAGGAGCGGTCACGTAGGCCCCTGCATCATTTCCCTCTGAAGGTTAAATCAATAAACCTTTTTGCCTCTTATTTTGTACTGCTTGGTTATAGTTATTGTTTTTTAGTTGGGGTAAAACACAGATAGCATAAAATTTACCATCTCACCATTTTTAACTGTACACTTCAGTCTTATTAAGTATAGTCACATTGTTATGCAGCTAACCTCCAGAACCCTGTGACAGTGCCTTCAGCAGGGCAGACACAGCCTCCTGGGAGCTGGGAGGGGGTGACTGAGAGATTGGGGTGGAGAATAAGGGAAGTTGGGGAGAGGGGAGGTACAGCGGGGCCTCTCTAACCTGTTCCTACTTGCCTCCAGGTGAACATGACCACAGATTTGGAAGGCAGCGACATGTTGGTGGAAAAGGCAGATCGGCGGGAGTTCATCGACCTGCTGAAGAAAATGCTGACCATAGATGCTGATAAGAGAATCACTCCGATCGAAACCCTGAACCACCCCTTTGTCACCATGACACACTTACTCGACTTTCCCCATAGCACACAGTAGGTGTTCTGCTCAGCGCTTTATACCAAGGCTCAGCAAACTTTTTCTTTAAAGCCCCAGATAGTAAATATTTTAGGTCTGGCGGCCATACAGTCTCTGTCGCAATCACTCGGCTCTGCTGTTATAGCTGAAAGCGGCCGCAGACAATTCATAAACAAATGAGTGAGGCTGTGATCCAATATAACATTATTTCTAAAAACAGGTGGTGGCCAGATTGGGACCCTGGGCCGCAGTTTGCTTTACACCAATAAAGGAGGGGACAGTGGAGCATAGGAAAGGTCAAGGCTGAGTGGACCAGACTCTGGGTGTCTGTGCATGAAGCGAGATGCTCAGAATGGCTGGATATGGAAGCAGAGCCACCTGTAGTGCCAAAAGTCACTCCCAGGCCCATTCCAGAGCAGACTCGGTCTAGTTTGGATTTGGGCTTGTTCATTCATTCATTCATTCATTCATTCATCCATTCATTCAGCATGCTGTGTGCTATGCCAGGTGCTGGGGTATAATGGGGGGCTGGGGCAGAGATGGAGCCCCTACCCACTGGAGCTTGCAGTCCATAGGTCAGAGAAAGGTACAAAACTATGATACCCAAATAGCCAGACTGATATCAGGGAAAGTACAGGGTGTGATGAGAGCATGTAACGAGGGAGCCTCGCTTGGGGCAGGACAGGCAAGACCCTGGGGAGGTGGCCGCTGAAAGATGAGTGAGAGGTAACAGGTGGAAAGGCCCACGAAAGCAGAAAGGGCATTGCCTGTGCAGAGACGCCCCCATGGGCAGGACCAACCCTGAGAGATGGGGGACCGTGGGAGAAATGGGGCCCCAGGATGAGCCGGGGGCAAGCCTTCCATGGTCAGGATTTTGGTCTTGATCTGTGAGGCGTCACTGAAGGACTTGAAAGCAGGGGACTAGCTGGTTAGAGCTGCATTTACCAAAGATCTAAGCACTGCTGCTCAGTCAAGTCAATGAACCGGGAAGACATGCCCGTCACATCAGGCGACTTGGAAGCTGTTGGTGACTTAGTAAGAGCTGTTTCAGTGGAGGGCAGAAGCAGAAACCAGCTAAGTAGGTTGAAAGACTGAGAGAGAGGTGAAGAAATAGGAACCTTTCAAGAAGGGAGGCTGTGAAAGGGGAGGAAAGAAATAGAGGGATGAGTGGGGAGGGCCCAAGGGGGACTTTCTTTTATACGGAAGAGATTTGAGCAATTTTAAATGCTGATGGCAGTGTCTGATAGCAAGTGAGAGATTAAAGATAAAGGATGCTCAGAAGAAAAGTTTCCTAAGAAAGTGGATGGGGCTGGAATTCAGAGAACAGGTAGAGGAATAGGCCACTGTCCCCGGAAGGATACGTGGATGTGGGCAGGTGTGAGGTTTAGTGGAGCAAAGCTGAAGGAGCTCTTCAGACAGCTCTGTCTTCTCTTGTTGAGAGCAAGGTGGTTGGTGGTTTAAGAAGGGTAGGAAAGTTTAGGTAGTTGGAGCAGAAGGTGACAGCAAGTTGAAGAGGGACAGACAGTAGAATTGAGCGTGGAGGTTGGACATGAATAGCGTGGGGTGTAACTGAGTATCCCAGGTGAAGACATGGAGAACACAGGTAACTGGGTTCTTCCAGGTTGGAGTCTTGCCAGGCTGCTAAGAGAAAAAGACAGGGTGACAGACTTATGTTGTTGGCGTTAGAGCAATCATAATCCAAACTGATGGCTATTGGGGGCCTAGCTGAAAGGGAAAGGAAGAAAAAATTGGAGGGATCCGAAGACACTGAATCGTCTGATCAACTCAGAGTTTTGGTTAATTTAATAACAGTCGAATGAACCAGATAGGTGAAAATGTGGCCGAGGGATGGGATGCTTGAATTTGTGGTTTGGGGAAGTGGAGCCGCTTCAGGTTTGATGGTCCAGGAAATGGGTGGCTAGAGTTGACAGCAGGTCACGAGATGAGAAGTGACTGAGAAGCCAGGGTGTCTGGCAGGTAACCAGTGTGACCTCTGGAGGTTCCCTAGGTGGGCAGGGAATGGGTTCAAGTGGAAAACTGAGCCAGTGGCCCAGGCCCCGGTGAATGAGGGGGAGAGAAAAGGCCTTCGGCAGCAAGAGAATGGGAGGGAGTATGATTAATAGTTTGCAGAGGCTGCAGCAACGAAGTACCACTGAGTGGCTTAATGGCTCACACAGCAGAAGCTTATTCCCTTACAATTCTAGAAGTCCAAGATCAAGGTGTTCGGCAGAACTGATTTCTCGTGTCCTCCCTGTGACCTCACATGGTCTTCCTCCCATACACGTCTGTGTCCTCATAATGAATTGGATTACGGGTGACCCTAATGACCCCGTTTTACCCCTTTAAAGATCCCGTCTCCAAATTCAGTCACATTCTGAAGTAGCGGAGTTAGAACTTTAATATAGGAATTGGGGTGGAGGCACAGTTCTGTCCATAACTGGGTAATGAGAGATATCACTTCAGCCTCTCAACCCCGAGGTACTTGATATTTGAAACTGATATCCCTGGGTGTCTGCAAGGAGAAGAGTGTACTCAAGAGAGCACCAGGTTTTAGTTAAGGTCAGGAGGAAAAAGGGGACGCATGAGAAGGGACATTTGCAGAGTACAGTTGGCCCTGCCATGCCGGACTCAGATTGGGCCGAGCCCCAAGGCTGGACTTGACCTTAACCAGCCTACAAGAAATGAATGGGTGGCGTCCACCACAGACTGTGCTTCCTCTAATTGCAGTTCTGTTCCTTATCAGTTCATGTTAAGCAAGTCAAATCATATTGCAACAACCACACACTGAGTCTTTAATTTAGAGCCATGTTTGAAATAAGCAAACGCCAGTACAAAGAAGGAACTTGAACCCATTTCTTGCAAACTCTTTTTATTATGGGATTTGTTCTTTTTCTGGATGTGGTAGGGGTAAGTCAAGGGGATGTCAGTCTATACCACAGAACAAAGGGACTACTAGATAGGACTCCTAAAAGATTAATGTTTTTACATTTAGGGGTGAAGTGGGATGACTGATGAACAGCTATGGGCAGAAGGAGGGGTGCTCTCCAGAGGGCTCCCCTTAGCCATCTGCACTAAGTCGGTGGGACGTCACCCACATAGTCAAGAGTCATGGCTGAATGACCTCAGGGTTCCGTCCATCTCTGGGTTCTGTGAGGAAGCAGCAGTGGACTGCTTCACTGTCCTCAGTGAAGACCCAGCATGGAGACCATGAGCATCAGCTTCACGTTCAGAACGTGTGTGGGTCACAGGAGGACCACTGACCATTTATAGCTCAGAAAATGGGCCTCACGAGGAAAGACAGGTCTTGGAGCTCACCTAGGCTTACCTGGCAGTAGGTCTAATCCCTAAGAGTCCCCAGAACTTGCTGGGAAGACTATGAGAATTCCAGGCGAGAAGTAACCTCCAGGCCCACCTGCTGTAGACCCCACTCTTAGGGCTGGGCCACAGTCACCCCAACATCTAGATTGATAGTTTAAAAAGACCCACCCATTTCTCCAAACCAGGACTCTAGTGCACAGATCCCTTAAAAACCATTCTCATAGGATTAACCCAACGTGCAAGTGTTTGCCTATTCCTGAAACTCAAAACTCAGACCATTTCAGACTATTCTGAGTCTAAAAGCTTTGGGTTGAATTGTCACAAAACCATTGAATACTTTAAAAATATTCCAAAAAGAATACAAAATCCATTGTTTTATTCCTTCAGTTTCCATGTGAAAGCACTTAGTGTGCTTGGTACTTAGAGGATGCTCAAAACGTGTTGGCTTTACCAGCATTATTAGATTTTTTTAGCTATTGGTTACCGTAGAGCCTGTTTTCCTTTCTCTCCAGGATCGGCAGTCAGTAAATATTTATTTCATGGGCATTGTGTGGCCAATGTAAGTCGCCATCAACTCAGAAAGAAAGGATTCTCTGAGCATGTCTAAGACAGTTCGGAACATGTTTCATGGGAACGGTGTTTGGGGATAGCCCGCTAGCACCTGCTTGGCCCAAAACACAGCTTACCTCTGTGATAGGCAGAAATAGTACATATTTGTAACCTTAGAATAGAAAATTATTTATCTATATTCAGTTATTACATATAATTAAAATAAGTACTTAACATTGAATTTAAATGCTGTTTTATTATCTTGAATTTTGGCATTTAAGGAAAACGAAATTTAATTAGAAGAAGGCACAGAAGCGAGTGAGAAGCCATGTATAAATTCCGAAGGACACTTTATGGTGGATTTTTCAAGAACTTGAATGATCCAGGCCACGCGTGGCTTTCCTTTTCTTTGATCCTGGTGTCAGCAACACGTTTATACTTTACTTTTGTAATTAGGGTTTTGTTTTGATTCACAAATGCAGTGGAGCGGGGGAAAGGAGGGAGAGAATTTTATTTCATGTAACTGGGCAAGAATTAGAAAATAAAAAGGAAGGATGAAGGACGTTCAAGAGGATGTATATGTATGTGCATACATGAAGATTGCCAGTAATTAGCTCTTGACCTTGGCAGTTACCTATGTTCTCTAAATTTCATTCTTACTTGTAAAATAGGGGCAGCAATTGTCTCTCCCTCTCGTGGTGGTTATAGGACTGAGTGAAAACATCTGCACACAATCTTGATCAATGTTAGCTGCTATTATGAATTGTTGCTGTTATTATTGTTCTCATTACATCCACAGTCCTGGTGGGAAGAGTGGCAATAGGGCCATGATACTAAGTTGGCTAGTTCCTTGGCTGTCCCCTAGGTGGCGCTGGTGCCCCAGAAGAGCTGGGAAGGATGGGGCCAAGGAGCCCTCTTTGGGGATGGTGGAGGCAGGTCATAAAGCTGCTGTTTAATGTTCCCAATCAAAGAACTCATACGTTTTTTTATGGGCCAGAAAGTACTCTGAAAGCTGAGGATGAGCAGTGAAGTTGGAGGCAGACCAGTGATAGGAGGAAAATGCAGTGAGAGCCATCAGGTCTGTTGTGCTATGGAGAACCTTTCCCCATCCAGGATGGGAAGAAGAGGTAGAAAGACAACGGGGGAAACTCTTCTAAATAACTTGACTGTTGCAAATGCAGACTTTACGTGGGAAATCCAGGAAATTTAGACTTAACGTTAAGTTTCCCCAGTTTTGTTTCCTACATTAACTATTCTCTTCCTTCTCCGTTTTCTCCCCCTTTATCCCACATTCCCTGTTTTCTTTACCTGACACCTCTGTTTCTGCGTTTTGCATGAACAGCGTCAAATCATGTTTCCAGAACATGGAGATTTGCAAGCGTCGGGTGAATATGTACGACACGGTGAACCAGAGCAAAACCCCTTTCATCACGCATGTGGCCCCCAGCACGTCCACCAACCTGACCATGACCTTCAACAACCAGCTGAACACTGTCCACAACCAGGTAAGGGGGGAGCAGAGGAGAAAGCAGGTGGGGCTGACAATGACCATCAGGAATTGTATTTTCCCACCAAACCCAGTCAGGAACAGAATTCCTCTCCCATCATATACAAGAGACAAAATCCCTCTAGTGTCACATTCAACTCCGTAAAAAGGTGTTTGTTTCCAAGGTGATTTCCTTGGCGAACCCCTGGCACTCTTTGTATCAACTGCTGGCCCTACTAGAAGGTCCCAGAAAGGACTCAGTAAGGGGGTTGTTTCTGAGCTGGTACCTCTTACCGCTTCCCTCTGTCCTGAAGTGGGAATAAGGTAACGGAGATGCTATGATCCTTGTATGTCACACATCGGCCTAATAAAGAATTCTACAACTGGGACACTAGCAATCATCCTGTCAGGCCCCTTCCCCTTGTCCCCACTCTGCTGGGTCCCCATGATCTCCTTTCAGATAAAATGTCCTCTCTCCAAGTCGTGGAGAAAATCAGCTCATCAGCCTGTCCCCAGAATCCCAGCATCTGGAACCGAAAGGGATGGGGAAACTAAGGCTTTCTTCCCACAGATTTGCAGAAAATTAGCAGAATCTCGCACCTAACATGCTGCTTGGAATATAGATGGCACCCAGGGAATAATGAATAAAGACTCTCCAGGTCCTCGCTCAGGAGGTCTCTAAGAGACTTTTACTCCCATCTTCCAATCTTACCAGATCCCCCAAAGACGTGTCCCTAGGTTTTTTCAGTCCTAATATCCATCTCTTCTGTGTGCGTGCATACACACACCCCCTTCCAGAGGCGTGTCCATGTTCTAATCCTGAAGTATGACTGAATACCTCTACCTGACCATCCACTCTTTTTAACAAGCCCCCTGCTGTCACTGAAGAGTCACTGACCCTGTTTTTCTAGATCATTCCTGTAGCACATTGGGTTGCCAATGCCTGGTTTTACCTCCCAGCCTATCCTGTCTCCCTCTGCCTGAACCCTAGGAGAGGCCCCTGGGGTCACTGGTCTTCTTAAAGCTCTCCTGCGGGGAAGAGCTAATGCTCTGTAAGGCCTAGAGTCCAGAAACATGCCCTCCCAGCACCTAGCCCAGCCCTCAGGCTAAGGCATCGCAGCCAGAGGGGTGAGCTGCTAGACAGATCTCGCCATGGTTTTGTTCTTCATCACCAGAATCGCATCACGATGAGTAGACCGATCTGGCTGGTGCCAAGACCATGGAGAGAGGAGGGAGATCCATTTAGAGGGGAAGGTTGGCCAAACCATGCGAAGGGAATGCCAGACCAAAGGGCTAGACAGTGTCCATTAGGCAGTGACTGGAGATTTTTGAGCAGGGGCGGTGACATGCACAAAGTAGTCTTTTAGGAAGAATGTTCTAGCCTCCATGCCCAAGAAGTGGAAGAGGGAAAATGCAGGTCAGGACATCACTGCCGGAGCCTCACAGGTCCCAGGCACCAGCGGGGAGGGCCTCTGCTGAGGAAGCAGCCATGAAAAAGAGACGGGTGGGGGGCACATTGCGAAGGGAGAAGCAGCAGGACCAGTGACCGACCAGAAGGGGAGCTAGTCAAGGATATTGGTGCCCCAAAGAGGAAAGGCTGGAGGCACCAAGACCCGAGGGGAGTCTGGACTTCGGCGTGTGGAGTCTGAGCAGATAGTGAGAAATCTGTGTGTGGCTTTCAGGAGAGATGGGGCCGCAGAGAGAACAGACAGGAAATACTATACATGTCATCAGTAACAACACACGGACACGGGGCCACACGTGTCGCACACACGGTCCCAGTCACACTCCCTGGAGGCCAACTCTGTGACGCTGCACAAACCAAAGCTTAGCGCCACGATATGTATCTTAAAACGCAAACGTACTCCACATCATTTAGTAGCTACCTTCAAACAAATGAATTTGCTTCGCACTAAAATTCAACGTAAGATCTAAGTATAAAAAACGTGAAGTGAAACGTTATCCTTTTATCAGGTTTGGCGCACATACATACCCTTCTGTAATTCTATTTTTGTGTGTGTCCAAGGTGTCCTTGTGGCTCTTTCTTCCGTAGTCTTTAGTCCTTGTAACCTCGAGTGGCCAGGCCCCTTGTAAACAATGGCAAATTTGAGCCATTGGCAACCTCCACCGACGGTGCTGGAGGATGGGTGTGAAGAAGGCTGAGATGGGCGAAATTGGACAATTCCCAATTTCGAGGTTCTTTTCCTTCTGCCGCTTTGCTTCACGTGGAAGTTTAGTCTCCTATGTGTCTCTTTCTGAAAGACAAAGGAGAGAGGAAATAATATCGTTATTTGTCTAACCCATCTCCATTTCACGTTTCTTTCTCTCTGCCTTCCAGCCTTAGTGGCTGAACACCAGTGTAAGAAGGCCCCAAACCCTAAGAAGAAACAAACCCCCCTCTCAGCCTGTGCCCCTCCCTCTCTGTTTCTATAGCACATGTCATTCCAGTAATTGCTGTGCAGCCGTCTAAGGGTATCTAGACAGTGCTGCCTTTAGGCCTGAACAAGATGGCCCCCCGCTGGGCACCCCCCTCCAGGTATGTGAGCTTCCATGCCACACTCTGGGTACCTGGGACCCTGGGTCTAGAGTCAGCCTCCCACGTAGGGACCACACCACCAGGTCCACATCTGTGCGCCCAGAGCCCCTCGCCTTGTGGGACGGAGCTGGGGCCGGGAGAGAAGGAAGGCAGGGCTTTAGCTGCCCCGCACCCCACTGGGTCCCAGTGCACAACCCAAGGGCTCCAGGAATCCGAAACTCAAACCTGCCTCCCAGATGGAGGCACATCTGTCAGAGTGGAAGGGCAGGACACTCATCGTTCCTAGCCTAACTTTTAACTTCGCAGTGCTTAGCCATATGGTTCGCAGGCATCCGTTAGTGCTCTTGTCCGGGCCTCACACAATGTTACAACACGCCTGAATATAAGCACCAAAGGCGCTTCTGTCGCAGGTGGCTGCAGGTGCCTGCTTTTTCCCTTGAGTCTTCTCAACTGTTATTTCCACTCCCCTCTGTTTTTGCTTCTCTGCTCCTGATTTTTTGTTTGTTCTCCTTTGAGTTCATTTATTTGATTTAGATTCGTGTCTCCCAACATGCCACCACCCTCATTTTTTATTTTTGTTTATTTTTGTTTAATCCCCATCATTCCTTTAGGCTCCCACCTCCACCAGTGCCACTATTTCCTTAGCCAATCCCGAAGTCTCCATACTAAACTACCAATCTGCACTCTACCAGCCCTCAGCGGCATCCATGGCTGCAGTGGCCCAGCGGAGCATGCCCCTGCAGACGGGAACAGCGCAGATCTGTGCCCGGCCTGACCCCTTCCAGCAAGCTCTCATCGTGTGTCCGCCCAGCTTCCAAGGTAAGCATGAGCAGACACAGCCTCCCGCCTGCTGGACAACCCCTGAGGTGCTGGCACCCACAGTGTTCCCTCGTGGCTTCTTCCCTGGGGTACAGCCCTCTTCATTTCCATTGGTAAGAGCACTGGTGGGCATCACTGAACTTGAGGCCCCTATCCTACTGTGACCAGCCTAGAAACAATGGGAATTTGTTATTCCCACCACCTGCCCCTGATTTTGTCCCTGGCCAGCTGCCTACAAATAAGCACATTGTGTGTGTGTTACCATTGTTATGTTGATAGCAGCTCTGGGGGCCTCTCCCATGAATACCCTCTGTGTGGCTCAGCTACAGAAAATGCCAACCCCTGACAGCCCACCTGGTCCCAGTTCTCATGGAGAATGGAAATCTCTCTGAAAAGTCCTTCCCCGGCCACCCCCAAATGATTCTGTGGCCGTGCACCCCAACACACTCTTCTGAAAACGCGAAGAAGTTAGAGTTGACCGTGTACTTTGTCACAGTTTGCACAGAAAGCTCAAGAATTTGTTTTTGGAAACCCAGGGGGCAAGCGTGTGTAGTTGCCCAGTTTCCAAGTAAGTGCGATTCCTGACGGACTCGTGTTCTCTCCCCAACACCCCTGGCTTTGACGTACACGATATGTCCTCGTGTCAGAAGCAGTAGTTTACCTGTCATCATTTGTCAGCGTAACTGTTCCTCTTTTGGTTTTACAGACTCCTTAAATTGACCTTCTTGTCTCTGAACACATTCGAGGTTGTTTTTTGTGGGGAGTTTGTTTTTTGGTTTTTTCAAAATTTAAGTTAAAAACTAAAGGGGAGATTTCCACAGAATCAAGCACTACTGGTGGGGACTGGTGCGAAGTGGGGTCGAGAGCTGACACGGCTGGCTAGGAAGGACCCGTTCACCCAGCTGGTTCCGATCACTCAGCTAACTGCTCTCTTCTTTGCCCGTTTTCTGGAGCAGGATTGCAGGCCTCTCCCTCTAAGCATGCTGGCTATTCCGTGCGAATGGAAAATGCTGTTCCCATTGTCACCCAAGCCCCAGGAGCTCAGCCTCTTCAGATCCAACCAGGTCTGCTCGCCCAGGTAATTCTTTCATGATTATTCCTGGCGTTTCCATTATCCATGTCAGTGTTCGCAAAAGAGATGTCACTCCACTAATTCCCTCCCTGGCGGTCATTAGAATATCTCAGTCGTATTCTGGGTAAATCCCCAGGTGAGTTACCTTCCTAAGTGTCTGGCGTACAATTCCAGGAAGAAATTTAGACACAGGGAGAGTTTGGGAAATTATTACTATTATTATATCTTTCTAATGCAAATTAATATGGGAGACCTAAGTTTTCATCCTAACTCTAGTAATAACTTTCTGTGACCTAAGGCAAGTGAGTTAACATCTCTTTGCCTTGGTTCTCTTGTAAAATAGAAATTATTTTCTTAGAGCCAAAGAAAACTTGGAGATAATCCCCTTATTTTTTAGTTGAAAAGCCAGGATCACAGAAGCTGTGAGCTGGAACCTTCCTTATCTGTTCACATAGGTACTCTGATGATAGAATAATATCACAGAGGGGAAGGTGGCTGAAAATTTGTAAAATGCTGTGGAAATTTAAGGTAACACAGCGATGCGATGATAATAGTAATGACACTTGAACCTTAATAACAGATACATCATCATTATGCCAGGCACTTTAGAAATGATTATTGATTTAATCCCCAGAAACACACTAAGGTATTTGTCGCCTTTTGACAAATAGGGAAAATGAGGCACAATCACTGCTCGAAGTCATACAGCAATTAGGTGACAGAACCAGGACCCAAACCCAAGAAGTCTGACGTCAGCATCTGTATTTTAACCACCATGCTAAATGCTTCCATTTAATCATTTCTGTTGTTGGTGCCAAGGACCTAAATGTTGTTAGTTTAGAAGCACTTATATTTTTAAATAAGTTAGGTTCCCAAAAGCCTTTTTCAAAGTGTTCCCAAAGATACTTTATTTATGGTATCTTTTGTCTTGGCTTTCATATTAATGTAGTCCAATTACATAGGTCTGTTTTGGGCTTTCTGTTTTATTCCATTGGCCTCTCTAATATCCTATTGTCTTGACTATTATAACTTTAATATATGTCTTGGTATCTAGTAGGGAAAGCCCTTCTCCCATAACATTCTTCAAAATGTCCTTGTCTATTCTTGTCCCTTCACTTTTCCATGTGAATTTAAATATCTCTCTTACATAAGAATTTTAGTTAAAAAAAAAAATCTGGTTTGTAGTTATTGGACTTGCCTTAAATTTATATTTACTTTAGAACTACTGAGATCTTTATAATATTAACTCATTTCATCCCTCAACATGATATGACTATATATGTTACCTTTTATTCCTTTTATTAAAGTTTTCTTTTGTTGGAATAATTCTTAAATATTAACTATAATTTCTAATTATTTGTCTTTGTTTATAGTAATATACTACTGACTTTGGTCTATTGAGTTTGTTATTTAGCAATCCTTCTAAACTCTGTTTAGTTCTGATTGTTTCTGTGAATTCCCTTTGATTGTGGACTATGTTTTTATTTGCCAATAATGCAGTTTTCGTTTCTTCCTTCCTAATCCTTATACATTATTTATCGGTCTGATATCACTGCGCTGACAGCACCTCCAAAACAATGTTTAATAACAATGTTGATATTGGGCGTCCTTAACTTGTACCTAACTTTAAAGGAAATTCTTCTAGCTGCTTGGCTTGCCATTAGGCATTTTGTTTACTAGAAATATTGATAGAGACATTTTATCAAGTTTGCTAAATTTTTTGATGAATTAATACTAAATTGCATCAAATGTGCTTTCTGCATCTATTGAACTACTCATGTGTTTTTGTTCCTTAATCTGTTAATGTAGCAAGCTACTTAATAGATTTTGTCATCTTAAACTATCCTTGTGATTCTGAGATAAGCTTTATTTGATCATGTTGTGTTTGATATGTTTGCATGCTTTTCAATACCAGGTTGTTTGTAAATACTGTAGTTAGTATTTTTGCGTCTGTGTTCATAAGTGGTAAACAGCATATAATTTTTCTTTCTTATAGAATCCTTATCTGATTTGGGCACCAACATTATACCAGTCTCATAACATATATTGGATACTATCACCTCTTCTTCTGTTTTCTGGAACAGCTTGTTTAAGATTGTTAATATTAACCATTGTTTGTCTCTTTGTTCATACGTCCAAATGGACACTGCAAGTGACCACTAACACCAGCTTCCGGTGACACACACAGTTTTGTCTTGCTGCAAGTGTGTCAACAGAGAACCGTCTGTATTTAAAGCCTGCTTTCTCCTCCTACCTTTTGCACTGGTCCTCACAGCTTTCTTTTCTTTGCCCAGCTTAGTAGGAGGGAGTTCAGAAAAGGCCAAGGCAGAGCAAGAGAAAGAACTACAGCTTGCTCCAGGCCAAAGTAGTTTGTTCATACTTTATCTGAGTGACAGAAGCCCAGGCCAGGCTCCCAGCACTTCTCCTCTGTGCACCAAA